CCCACCCCCCCCCGCACTCCCATCCCCACCCACATCCCCAACACCACCCTCACACACACACCCCCACCCAATGGTCAGTCCTTCACAAAACTTTGTCTTTCCAGGTTTAACTTCCGGGGATTCCGGTGGATGAAAACCATGATCCACACTATCAAGGAGATTAATGAGAGGAACGACATTTTGCCCAACCATACTCTGGGCTATCAGATCTTTGACACCTGCTATACCATCACTAAAGCAATGGAGTCAGCTTTAGTGTTTCTTACAGGGCAAGAAGAATTCCAGCCCAATTTTAGAAACAGCACTGGATCAATTTTGGCAGCAATGGTTGGAGCGGGGGGATCGTCCTTGTCAGTTGCAGCTTCAAGAATTCTTGGGTTGTATTACATGCCTCAGGTATCTTGGAATGTTGTGTTGAGTACTTGTAAAGAAATAGAAATGGGGACTGGAGAGATGGCTAAAAGGTTAAAAGCCCTTGCTGCTCTTGCAGAGGACCTAGATTCAGTCCCCAGGACTCATATGGTGGTTCTCAACCTACTGAAACAACAGTTTTAGGGGATCTGAAGCCTATCTTTTGGCCTTCATGGGCTGCTGCATGCTTGCAGTGCACATAAACTCATGCAAGCACACACATACATTTAAAAATAGTGGAATTCACCCTTTAATCCCAGCACTCGGGGTGTTGGCAGAGGGAGGCAGGCAGATGTCTTGAGTTGGAGGCTAGTCTGGTTTACAGAGCAAGTTCCCCGACAACCAGGGTTGTACAAAGAAACCCTGTTTTGAAAAACAAACAAAAATGTTTAAAGAAATTTAGTGTTTGGAAATTGTTAAAAATAAGGAGTGCAGGAGAGGTTGAGATAAGCTCCAAAGACATCCTAGGATGGGTACTGTGTTCCAAGTGACTCTTCAGCCTTGAGAACTGAGGCTTACTGAGAGGTGATTTGGGATTACTCTTCCCAGAACATCTTGCTTGCACTGATGGCATCACTAAACTCTACAGAACTGGATAAACACTTGGTGGTTGGTCCATAGCTGGAATAAGGCACATGTTTTGGTTTTGGTCTCTGTTGATGATTGTTAAACATGAGCTACACCATCATACTCACAATCTAAAATGGCTCTGGGAATTTAAAAAAATGGGTATCCTTTTGGGATACTACCAAAAACTGAAACAACATTACAGATATTTCACAAGTGCAAGTATATACATACATGACTGCCATGGCATAAATATGGAGGTCAGAGGACAACTTTAGTGACTCACTTTTTGCCTTCCACTTAGTTGAGGCAGGATTTCTCTTGTTCCTGCTGCTGTCTAGTAAACTGGAAGCTAAGTGTCCTGAGAGCTTCTGGCCAATTCTCCTTTCCCTGCCTCCCGTCTTGCTACAGAAATGCTGAGATGACAGGTGTATGTTACTGCATCTACCTTTTACCTGGATTTGGGGAACTGAACTTAGATCATCAGGCTTGCATGGCAAGCACTTTCCTCACTGATCCATCTCCCCAGTCCTGTCTTTGCCTCTTAAAAATGTTCTTTCCTGTAGATAGTTTCTACGATGTTGCTGCCTGTGTGACTCTAAAGAAGACCGTAAATGTTAGCCAGAGGATTGAGAGTGAAATAGAGGGCCAAGGGAAGAGAACAGAGAGTAGATTACTGCATGAAGGAACTGACAGTTCTGGAGCTTTGGAATTGTAACATAGAAGACTTTGCTGGAGGTGATGCATTGGTAACATGATAAGGAGAGTGAGTGATATGGAGAGTTAAGTTACAGGAATACACAAAAAATTGTCACCAACACATGGTGACCTAAGTTCCATTATCCAAGACCCAAAAGATGGGAAATACATGCAAGGATTACTGAACAAATGACAAAAAGGACTTCTTTATGTGCATAGTTATAGACTTATAAAATGGGAGTGTTGAGGAACTTAGTTATAGAAAATGCTTGCGTAGGCCTGAGGTTTGAACTACCCGTGTCAATCTAAGTTTTAGCATCTACTCATGCAGAAGTCCTGGAAGAATGAAATAATAAAGAGAAAGATAAAAAGGAAAGAAAAGAACAAAATTAATTGGGGTGGCAGAGGAGTGAGGCACTGTAAGCAAGAGAAACTGGTGCTGCCAAATGGATGGGGAGTGGACTTATTCCATCATCTTTGTGCATGAGATACTGAAGTTGCCGAACAGTCTGAATGTTGTGACTCAGGGGAGTGATCATATCTCCAGGGAGCATAAAGGAAAGAGCAAATGACCTGTCTGTCAGTGCTATTCATGAAAAACACTTCATTGAATTTTATCAATAGTAGGCTGCTCTAACCCCTTTGGGGTTGACAGCACAGACCAAACTTCTATCAGCAGGCCCCACTCATTGAACAGGAGTAGTGAGTCATTTTTCATGGAAAAAATGTGAGGAAAAAGAGAAACTGCTCAGTACTTCCCTCTGTAAATAGAGTCCTGAATTGGTCTAGATAATAAAATGCCAGAGTCAGATATAGAGGGAAATGCTGAGAGATCAGAGAGAAGGAGCAAGCCACAGCACTCCATAACTCCTAAGCATCTCAGCAGAGAAGAGAGCAACTTCCTGTTTCTTCCTGCTTATATCCTGTTTCTGCCCAGCTATGTCACTTCCTGTCTGCCTGTACAGACCTCCAGACATCTATGGTTAACTAGAGGCAAGCTCCATTCTCTGAGCTCCAGACGGGCTTTATTTGTGCAAGAAAGAAATCACCACAACCCTCTCAGAATATTCTGAAGTTGTCATTTAAGAATTAGCTCTGGCTTCCTAGTAACTATAAATGTTTTCAATTTTAGGTGGGCTATACTTCTTCCTGCTCAATTCTTAGTGACAAATTCCAGTTTCCTTCTTATCTTCGTGTAATACCCAGTGATAAGATCCAGTCTGAGGCCATGGTGAATCTTATCAAACACTTTGGTTGGGTCTGGGTAGGCGCTATTGCAGCTGATGATGATTATGGAAAATATGGAGTAAAGACATTTAAGGAAAAAATGGAGACTGCCAACCTCTGTGTTGCTTTCTCTGAAACCATTCCCAAGATCTACTCCAATGAGAAAATGCAAAAGGCTGTCGATGCAGTAAAGACTTCCACTGCCAGAGTCATTGTGCTTTTTACCTCTGACATTGATCTCAGCCCCTTTGTGCTGGAAATGGTTCATCATAACATAACTGACAGAACCTGGATAGCCAGTGAAGCCTGGATTACCTCAGCCCTCATTGCAAAGCCCGAGTACTTTCCATATTTTGGTGGAACTATTGGATTTGCAATACCAAGAACCATTATACCAGGATTGAAAGAATTTCTTTATGATATACAACCTAGAAAGGATCCAAATGATGTCTTGACAATTGAATTCTGGCAAACTGCTTTTAACTGTACCTGGCCCAATAGCAGTGTGCCTTACAATGTGGATCACAGAGTGAATATGACAGGCAAAGAAGACAGATTGTATGACATGTCTGATCAGCTCTGCACTGGGGAGGAGAAGCTGGAAGACCTGAAAAATACCTATCTGGATGTGTCTCAGCTCAGAACCACAAACAATGTCAAACAAGCTGTGTATGCTATCGCTTATGCCCTGGATGGCCTCAGCAGATGTCAAGAGGGACATGGGCCATATGATCCAAATAACACTTGTGCGTATATACCTACCTTTGAGTTCTGGCAGGTGAGTTGTTTTACTTCATGATATAGCATGCCATTCATAAGTATTCATGATGTTTAAACTATTTTCCTTTGTATTTGATAGTCACATTTCCTTGCATGACCACTTAAAGAAATGGTTTGCCTGTTTGACTTGGATATGTTTTTTGTTTGTTTGTTTTCTCCTGAGACAATTTTTTTTCTGTAACAACCCTGGCTGTCCTTGAACTCACTTTGTAGACCAGGCTGGCTTTGAACTCACAGAGATCCACCTCTGCCTCCTGAGTGCTGCAATTTAAGGTGTGCACCACTACAGCCTGGCTGGAGGTGTATTTTAAGTCCCCATTTATTAACAGAATGGAATCCATGTCCTAGACAAAAATAATTCCTTTACTAGATAAGCTGATTTTTTAAAACATAAATAAAAGTTAAAGGTAAATATTCTAGGGATAAATGAATGGCTTGGAGACTCCAGTTTCTTCTCATTTGCCTGTTCCAATGTTCAATATGGGGCTTTTCTTTGTAATCTAGAATGTTCACATTTAAACAAGAGGGAAAAAGGGCATGAAGACCATTTCTGGAAATTATATACAATTCTTCTTATACTCACATAGCCGTATTTTAGTCATGTGGTCTTATCTAGCTTGCAGGGAACTAGAATATGGAGTCTTCATGCAGCGTGAGAACTGTAGGAGGTAAGGATTGGGGTGCTATCTGGAAGACTCACTTCTATGCCTCTTGTGTTTAGTCTCATGTTGGCTCAGAGTAACCTTGAGGCCAGGGGCCATACTTTTAATCTGGGCCATACCTTCTGTTGAAAGTGTGTCACTCTGGGGGTGGTCTTTGAGGTCCTTTTCTCAAGCTTCACTCAGTGTGACAGAAAGTTGACGTCCTGTTGTCTTTGAGTCAAGATGTAGCACTCTCAGCTGGAGCACCATGGCTGCCTGCACCTGCCATGCTCCCCTTCATGATCATAATGGACTGAACCTCTGAAAGTGTAAACTAGACACCCTAGTTAAATGTTTTCTTTATAAGAGTTACCGCGGTCATGGTGTTCTTCACAGCAATAGAAATCCCAAGTAAGACAATCTCTAACTTGTCTCTTCTTCCTTGACTGTTCATCATCACTTTACCCTTATATAACTCTCTGTCAATACAACAGAGCGTGCAGTGGCTGGGAACATTGCATTTCCTGTTGACTTTCATTTTCAATTATTGCTGATATTATTAACTTTGGCAACTTAATTACAGTAGTATCACCTTTCTTTTTCTATATTGGATTGCTGTGTTTCCCTTGGGAAGTAATCATTATCCTGATGGGCAATATTTTGAGGCTCTGAAAATGTATTACTTTTAATTACTTTTTGCCTAATAGCTTTAGCACTCATTGACAATTATTCTTTAATTTTTTGTTATTACTATTGTGTATGTGTGCCTTTCTTGTGGTGGGGTCAGTTCCTTAACATGGAGGCATATGAGCAAAAAGACAATGAGCAGGTCCCTGATATGGTGCTCCACCATATTTGGCTGTCTTATAGAAGTAGAAACATATTTTAACTAAAGGAAAGTGACTATGCCCATCCAGAAATAATCTAGAAGATCCCTTTGAATAAACAGGTCTAAAATGAACTCTTAGAACTCAGGTGGGTCTTGCTTATTAGGACACTGAATAAGTAAGAGAGAGGAAGGGCTTGTAAAACTAAAGCTCAGAGAGCTGAGGGAGTACCCTAGCTACTCATGGAGGTACTGGGGTGTGTGTAGACAAGTGTCACCTAGGTCTTGCCAGAAGAGGAGACAGAGCTCTCCTTGTCAGAAGAGGAGACTCAGAGGAATAGATTGTCTGGACTTCTGAGTGTGGAACAGTCTTAACTTGGTAACAGTGATAGTCCTTGCAGCTTAAGATAGAAGGAAGACTTGATAAGGTCCAATTCACATAGCTTTGAGTGGTCATTTATCATGCAGGGCCATTTTAAGATAGACCTAGTCTCCTAAGTTAATGTAAGGATGTTTTCCTGAGAAAGAGAAGTTACACTTGTGTCTGTTTTTGTCCTGGCACTTGGTGACAGTCTTGATCATCTATCTGGAAGCTATAACATACTGAAACAGATAGTGAATTCTGGGTGTAGCAGGAGGTGTGCCTGGAGGAAGGGCCTATCATAAAGGACTTAAGTGAGGTTTCAATAGGTTGTAGACTTAAGTAATATGGGATCCTGATAGTACAACTGGGAGAAGAATGGGCCAAGAATGCTGTTTTGAGTGCAAGCTAAGTAAGATCACTCCCAAGAGTTCAACTAGCCCTTTCTGCCCTCCTGGAAGACAGAGACTGTCCGCTATGGTGGCTCAAGCCTTTAATCTCAGTACTTGGGAGCCAGAGGCAGGGTGATCTCTGTGAGTTCCAGGGCAACCTGATCTACAAAGAAAGTTGTAGACAAGCCAGGGCTACATGGTGAGACCTTGTCTCAAACAAAGCAAAGCCAACCAACAAACAAAAAGCCCCAAACATGTGGATGTCAGATTAGAGATAATACTTGATTTTGAGAGTGATATTAGAAAAGGATCTGGTGATTATCTGTCTTTGGGACCAGAGGATCCCAAAGTGGGAGAAATGTATTCTCTGAGGATGATGGTTATCTCCAAGGCCCTTTCTTATTTTTGTGGGGAATGCCTCTATCCACCTATTCACAAGAACCAATAGGTATTTGAGTCCCTTGCACAGAGGTAGGCGAATGAACTCTATTTGCTAATCTTCCTCTGGCATATTCCACTGTGTTTAACAGGCCTTAAAAGGAAAGTGGTCTGAGGACTACTTTAGGATTGGTCAGACAACAGGTTGGAAAAGCTTTGGAAATGGACCATAAGGAACTCTGGTGCCTGTGAAAAAAAAGATCAACTAGAATTTGGATGGTCTTAGCGCCCCTGTCCCCAAAGTGTGGCATTATGCAAACAAAAGACTGGGGGAAAATCTATGGAGAAACAGGTTGTTTTCTGGACTCTGCAGCCATCCTTCCAGGGTGCTGGGAAGCCCTGGTCTAAAGTCTGTTGAATCCACTGAGAGATGCAGTGAGGATATTGGAGAATGGGACTGGGAACTAAGGCAGCCTCAAGGAGAAGCTAAGCCACTTGTTTTGCCTGTTGAGCAGTTTGTTTGTTACCCAGAGAAATGCCTCCGTGGCCCATCTGATGGATCTGGAAATGTATACTGGCCACCTGAGTTGGAAGCCTGCATGGGACAGTTCTATGTACATGGGGTTAATATAAGTCCAAAGAGCCAGACCTTTTTATTGAGAGATTTGGGTCTTTGAAGGAGAAATTTTATATCCACATGCCATTAACTTTTGAAGAGTTAGAATAGTACTTTGATATGAAGTACATTTGTTTGGGCTGCAGCCAGATTAATAGTGATCTATACACTGAAGCGGCTATTCTTATGGGACAGTTTAAGAAGGGTTAGGGTTTATCTCAAGAGCCTTGAGGTAATAGAGTAAGCTGTTGGATAATCTAGGTAGAGGGGTCCACCTTTTGGTGGCAACTATGATTTGAGAGTATGGAAGGATGGGGATATAAAAGAAAACAGCTTTAAGGGCTAGTATTGTGAATTAAGAGGTAATAGAGGATATTTTTCTGTCCAGGAAGATGGAAGGATTGAGAACTACATGGTGAAGTTCATTTATGGTCCTCAGTTCACAGCTGATTCTGTAATATCTATCTGATTTTTTTTTTTTACTACCATGCTAGGCATGTCATACAGAGTTACTGGGACATAGTGGCCCAGTACTCAGAAATTTATGAATATGCCTCAGGTTTTAAAGGACATTGGGGCCTTTGAAGAAGTTGTTAAGGTCCTTAAGATTAATTGTGATAGGAGTGGCTGCTGGTGAGTTCCCAGAAATGGAAGGATTCCCTACTTCAGGGACAATTTGTTGTGTGACATAGGGGTCTGTAGTAGAGACTATAAGAAGGGCCTTTGAGGCTCTAGATGGCTCTGGGCTATAATAGGACAATGGCCTGGTATTAGAAGCTTCAAAGAGTTTTAGATCAGCCTGAAACTCAGACAAGCCACTTCTTAGGAGGGGAATGGGGCAATAACTTCAGACCAGAACAGAAAGATCTGCATATATTACAGGTAAACAGGATGTGAACTCACTGGTTGGAGCTTACCATCAATATCAGTGAAGAGGATCTGGGACTGGAGGGGTTGAACCCAAAAAGGTGTTAAGGGCTGAAAAATAATGGCAATATCTAAAATGAAAATAATTCCCCCCTGCTACATCTAGGGTTGACTTAGTCTCATCCCTAGAGATGAAGAACTTTGGAGCTTGTCGAATCCCTGAAATCTGTTAGCCCTCAAAGGGAGGAGATTCTCTCCATGGCTCCTCCATGCCCCATAGAATGCCTTATAGTCCAGGAAGAGAATCAAAAATATTTGTCCTTTCACAGGTTTGACTTGACCTGTGGTCCTTGCATCAATACTGGCCTCCCTTCATGGAGGACAATTATTAGTCAAATTATTCGAACATTTTTTTTTCTAGTACACTTTGCAGATTGGACCTGACTCTGGTGGACACCTATTGTCCCATGACCTCGGGTGTTGCTGGCTTGAATTGTTTCAGCTAGTCTTGAACTGAACTGATGGCCACTAGATGGTGGCTCAAGGCTTTCCTGAGGTGGGTAGGGAGGCGTATTGCCATCACCATTAAATGTATCTGTCTCTTTCTTCCTCCAGTTTGACTCTCCTGGTCCTTGACGTCTCTATTAGGTAATTAAAGAAGGCCTTGCTTACTAAGGTAGGCAAGGTTGTCTGGTGTTCTTGGTATAGTTTTTGAAGCTTTTATCTGGTATCTAGAGAGGCTTGGCTTATAAGATGTACAGCCAAGATGACTTGGTCTCTGGACTCTCAGGATCTAGATTAGTTCACTGGAATATCATTTCAGCTAGCCTACAGTCAAAGAGGAGAGGAAGGTTCTTGGAAGACCCATAGTTTACTTCCTGTGGCTTATTATAATTAATATATTTGGTATTAGTCTT